GCTGATTCCTATTCCTCTCATTTCTTTTTTGCTCTCCTTCTACCTTCTTTTGAATTAACTATCATTTAGATTATAATTTATCCCCTTTATTAGTTTAGCTACACTTCTTTATTTTGTTGTTACAGAAGTTGCTTGTATTACTTTTCTAATACTACTGGGTAACAAACTACCACAATTTAGCATTAAACACACACACACACACACACACACACACACACACACACACATATTATATGTCATATTTTCCACAGGTTAAGATTTTAGGCAGTTTCCCTAAGTCAGATTTGCATTCTGCTCAGATTCTCATAAGATTGCAATCAAGATATTAACTGGGCAATGTTATTTTCCGGAAGCTCGGTTATGGAAGAATCTACTTCCAAGCTCTTTTATATTGCTGGCAAAAATGTACTCCTCTTGTGGCTGTTTGACTGAGGGCCCATCTACCTGATGGCTGTCAGCTACCATCTATCTGCAGATCCCACAGGGCACCCACAGTTCCTTGACATGAAATACTTACTATAAAAAGTTCACAACATGATTGTTTGCTTCTTCAAGATCAAAAGGAAAATCTCTCTGTGAAGTCTGCTAAAAAAGTATTACATAATAAAATGGAGGCATAAAAATGACATGCCATTACCTCTGCCTAATAAATACGCTAATCAATAGAATGACATACCATAACTTTTATTGTATTCTATTGGTTACATTTTCTATCTGCACTAGAAAGAAAAAGATCACACAAGGAAAGAACTCATTGGCAGCCATTCTTGGGTGTGTTGACATCAGCACTTAAGAGATTTTAGTACATAGCTTTAACTTAACAGTATACATTCAAAGATTCTGCAAAGCAAAAGAAACCATCAAGAGAACAGGGAGACAGCCCACAGAATGGGAAAAAATATTTGCCGAATGTATATCTGACAAAGGCCTAACATACAGGATCTACAAGAAACTCAAATATGCTGAAAGGAAAAAAACAAACAGCCTCATTAAAAAGTGGGCAAAAGAAATAAAAAGACACTTCTCAAAAGAAGATATATGGGCAGCCAATAGACACATGAAAAGGTGCTCAGCATCACTCATCAGAGAGAAATGTACATAAAAACCACATTGATCCCAGTAAGAATGGCCATCATTAATAAAACAAGCAACAACAGATGCTGGCGAGGATGCAGAGAAAAAAGACAGCTTCTGCACTGCTAGTGGGAATGCAAACTAGTTCAATCTCTGGAAAACAGTGTGGCGATTTCTGAAAGAACTAGACATTGACCTTCCATATGACCCAGTGATCTCCCTACTGGGAATATACCCAGAGGAATTCAAATCATTCTACAAAAAAGCTACCTGCACATGCTTGTTTATTGCAGCACTATTCACAATAGCAAAAACATGTAACCAACTGTGTTGCCCATCGAAACTGGACTGGATAAAAAAATGTGGTATACATACACAATGGAATTTTACTTAGCCATAAAGAAGGACAAAACATATGGACTTCACAGAAACCGTGGATTTAGATTCTATCGTTCTCAGTGATCTTTCACAGAAACAAATAGACAACCACATGTCCTCACTCATAAGCAGACCCTGAACATTTACCATAATACTATAAGAAAGGGATAAGCAGTAGTGGGACACTGCCAGGGTGTGGCTTGGTGGGGGGGACACAACATCAGTAAGGGTACCTGATCTCAAATCAGGCAAAGTGGGAACCAAAGGGAGGCCCAAACTTTACCTGTATGATGACCAGTTGTATACCTAATCCTGAATTGTACCCCACATATTTAAAATAAAAAAGTCTACACGCAACTAATATACAACTTCACAAAAACAAGAGACATAATATTCTTTCATTTCTTCTATCCACACTTTGTGCTACATTTTACTTTTACATGTTATGAACTCCATATCACATTACTGTTACTTATACAGTCCATTCTTTTTTTGTAAAGATTTAAGTATTAAGATAAAATACTTGGCCATTGCCTTGCTAAGCTATGGTATGGCCATGTGCTCTTGGAGCTATGACCAGGCCACGTTTTCTTAAGCTTTGGCCCCCTTCCTCCTATACCTTGGGGAGGTGAATCACCTCTTTCTCTCTAATTTACTTTCTAAAGAAACCATATTCTCTAATCTAAAAAAAAAAAGTATTTACTAATGTGTTTACCATTTCTGGTACATTTCATTCCTTTATATACATTTAGATTGCAATCTAATGCCATTTTATTTCTGCCTGACTTATTTCATGTTTCCTGTAGTTCAGATCTGATGCTGAAAAATTCCTTCCTCTTTTGTACATCTAAAAATGACTTTAGTTAACCTTTGTTTTTGAAAGGTGTTTGTGGGGTAGATATCAAGGTTGACTTATTTTATTCTAACATTACTCTAAATATGTTGTTCCACTGGTTGCTGCTTGCATTTTTCTCAATAAACTTTCTGTAATCCTAATTTTTGTTTCTCTGTATGCAACATACCTCCCAACACACCCCCAACTACTTTTAAGATTTCTCTCTTTATCTATGGTTTTGAGCTATGTAATTATGGTATGTCTTCGTGTCATATTCTTCATGTTTCTTGTGCTTGGGGTTTGTGGAGCTTCTTGAATATATGAATTTATAATTTTCATCAAACTTCAAATATTTTGGACATTACTTTTTTTTTGTCCTCTTCCCTTGCCTCTCAATTCCATTTTAAAATATATCAGGCTATCAGAAGTTGTCCTACAGCTTACTATTCAATTTTTCACATTATTTTTTTAAAAAATTTGGAGTTTCTATGGCTACATTTTCACTTACATTAGTCTTTTACTCTGCAACATCTAATTGGCTGTGAATCACACTGTAGTTTTCATCGCTACAAATCGGACATAGATCTTTAGGTTTCATGTCTCTGATTAACTTTTTCAACAGTTTTTTTGACAGCAGTTTCAAATGAAAATTGAAGGACTTTTTGTGTAGAATTGTGTAAACTTCGCCATAATCTAATTGTAAAACATTTTCATTAGCTGCCTTAAAAGAAACCCCATATGCATTTGCAGTCCCTCTCCATATTCTATCAACCACTTAACCCCACAAGTCCCCAGCCCTGAACAATGACTACAGAAATTCGGTTTCTGTTTCCATAGATTTGCCTAGTCTGGGCCTTTCATGTACATGTAATTATACATTATGTGGTCTTTTGTGATTGCCTTCTTTCACTTAGTACATATAATGTTTTCAAGGTTCATCCATATTTTAGCATGTAGTAGTACCTCATTCTCCTTTACTGCTGAATAGTATTACAAACAACAGATGCACATTTTTTCTTTTCATTCACCAGCTTACAGGCATTTGGATTGTTTCTACTTTTTGGCCCTTGTGAGTAACACTGCCATGGGTATTTGTGTACAAGTTTTTGTGCATACACCTTCATTTGTCTTGGATATATATCCGGTAGTTGAATTGTGGCTCATATAGCAATTCTATTTTTAAAGCAGATGCACTATTTTACACTCCCACCAGAAGCAAGAGAGATTTACTTTCTTCATATCCTTAACACCATTTATCATTACCTTTTCTTGTTATAGCTCTGCTTATCCTTTTGAACATATGGGATATAATTATAACTGTTTTAGTGCCCATTTCTATCAATTCTAGCATCTATTTCAGTTCTGATCAGCGGGATGATTCTTCTCATTATGGGTTTTCTTTTTCTCTTTTTTTGTACTTTATTGGTTGGTAAACACTTTTGAACTTCTGTAAATATTTTTCATGTTGTCTGTCATATATTTAAGTGATTTGTTAACAGTTTGATCCAATTGGGTTCTGTTTTTAAAATGTTAGGTGGCACTAGATCAGTGATCAGTCTAGGGTAAATTATTGGCTACTAAAATACTGGGCCCATGCAGTGGCTCACTCCGGTAATCCCACCACTGAGAGGCAGAGATGGAAGGACTGCTTGAGCAAAGGAGATCAAGATTAGCCTAGGCAACATAGCAAGACCTCCAGACCTGGTCCCCCTTCTTCCCCCACAAAAAATAAAAAAATTTACCCCCCGTAGTGGTGTAGGCCTGTAGTACCTACTCCTTGGGAGGCTAAGGCAGAGGGATACCCTGAGCCTGGGAGACGGAGGCTGCGGTGAGCCGTGATCTTGTCACTGCACTCCAGCCTGGGTGACAGAGTGAGACTGACTAAAAATGTAAAACGAAAAGTAATTTTACAAAATGACTCCTAAAGCAAGACTTGCATTTGTACTCAACCCAATGCCCTGCAGATCATGAAGTTTTCCACCCCGATTAGTGAAAACAATCACTAGTTCTGACCCTGTGTGATCTTCAAGGATCTTCAAAAATCTTTGGTGTAGATTCCTCACGCACATACTACTCCATACTCAGCTGAACACTCAAGAACCGGAGAACCCCAAGTTCTATTTCTGAGCAGTTCTCTCCTTTCTCCTAAGTTCTTCGGAGAACATGACCTACCTTGGTCTCCCCAGCATTTTCAGCCCTATCTTGTCAACACAGGAATCCACAGGAATCCGCGGGGGTCTTTGCATTAAGAGCAGTACGCTTTCTGAGTTCAGATCATTGACTCCCTGTTATCTCCGAGATCACTATTCCTCACTACTGATGCCCAACAACTGGAAAAACAGCCTCGCTGGTTTTTGTTTTTCTCCTAGCGTAGTGGTACATAGTTTAAATAAAGTGTGACTACCGTGAGTCTCCCGTTAAACGCAAGCTGAGGGCAAAGCATTTCCTTCTTCCGCGTGGAGCGACAAGAAACCCGCAGACTCGCGATCCATATCACGCCCTACCTCCAGTTTCCAGCACCGCCTACCCGCTGGTGCGCAGGCGCAGAACCGTGCGCGTCCGGCAATAACTGCGCCTGCGTCCACAGCGCCCCCGCCTTGCGCAAGTCTGTGCCGACCAATTAGAGTGCACAGTGGTCCTTGATTCCCGCCCACTGACCCAACAGCCAATCGCCTGCCTCGGCGCGCAGTCCGCGGTAAATCCAAAGTAAACCTAGGGCCTTGTGGGAAGGTAGTTGATCGCGGCGACTGGAAGGATGCAGGCCGCTGAGTCTGAGGTGGAAGCAACAGCCCTGGAGTAAGTGTTTGCGGCCGAGTGGCGGCTCGGGGCGGGCCTGGGCGGACTTAGAAGGCCCCTCTGTGTAGCTGTTTGGGTCTGACTCCGCCGTGCAGTGTTCCTGACCCCAGCTCCGGGCGGGCCTGAGCGGACCTAGTAAGCCCCCACGTACAGCTGTTGGGGTCTGACTCCGCCGTGCCATGATCTTTACCCCAGCTCGAGGCGGGCCTGGGCGGACTTAGAAGGCCCCTCTCTGTAGCTGTTGGGATCTGACTCCGCTATGCAGTGATCCTCACCCCAGCTCGGGGCGGGCCTGGGCCAGAAGGGCCCTACGTACAACTGTTGGGGTCTGACTCCGCCCTGCAGTGATCCTGACCCCAGTCACCAGTCTTCGGTCCCTGAGGTGGCCCTGCCCCACTCCAGGAGGGCAGCCTCTGAGCGACTGTTCGCCGCTCCTCACAGGCACACACGACCCCGGGGTTGTACTTTAGAAGGGGACGGTTCCATCCCTGTCCGCCCTCCACGTCGTTTCGCGAGCCGCACCGTTCTAACAGAATTTCCGTCCCCAAGAGACATCCTGAAAGGGCCTTTTAATTTCTGTTTTCTCTTGCCCCAACACACGTTCCCAACCGGTGATTCTATCCCTATCCCTGCCCCCTAGGTGACTGCTCTGGTCCCTAACAAAGAAAATCCCTAAAACCAAGGCATCCGACCCTCTGCCTGAGTTCTTCATCACCTATTCTGAGATCCTGCCCCATGGTTAGTGCTCTCTGGCAAGAGGGGTCCCGAGTCCCCTTTATTCTTCCCCTTCTCATTATTCTTCTCTTTCCTGCATATCTCTCTGCCTGGTCTTAGATCTTGCCTCAAACGGTTTCTCTCTCGGGAGACACTCTCTATTTGAAATAAAAAGCCCCTCGCCACACTCCTTATTCCCTAGCCTTAGCTTTTTCCTTGGGCACTTATTTTCACCAAATTGTCCTTCATGTTCACACTATTCCTGATCCCACACTGTAAACCCGTCTGGCCCTTGTGTAGGCCCTGGTTGAGGTGAGACTCTCAGCCCTGATACATTCATTCACATATGTGCATGTACACACACATACTCTAAAACTAGTACCCCAGGAGACTGAAGTTCCTCATGTTTCCTTGCCCCTCCAGGGTCCTGGCTGAGGTGGAAGGCATCCTGGAGCCTATAGGCCTACAGGAGGAGGCAGAACTGCCAGCTAAGATCCTGACTGAGTATGTGATGGTATGTACCAAATGGGAGCCAATGACTGATTGGACCTGTATTCAGGTACTCGGTAGCATTGGTGGAGAGTTGACTGGAAGGCAACATCACTGGTCTATAGTACAAGGAGGTAAGGATGTTCCCTGCCTCTATCCTTCCTCTGAACAGGACTCCCAGAAGAAAGATAGGCTGCTCTGTAGCCAGCTTCAGGTAGTGGACTTCTTGCAGAACTTTCTGGCTCAGGAAGATACTGCCCAGGGCTTGGACCCCTTGGCTTCTGAAGACACAAGCCGTGAGTATATGGATTGGGATAGGGGATGGCCTGAGTGAGGAAGGAAGGAGAATGTCAGTTAGGCTCCTTACTTGGCTGATGGGAAGACTGAGGCCCAGTGTTGCAAGGAGGCAAACTGGCAGACCATCTCCCTTCATGCCCTCATTCCTGGTGACTTTTCTCAGGACAGAAGGCAATTGCAGCTAAAGAACAATGGAAAGATCTGAAATCCACTTACTGGGAGCACGTGGAAGCCATCAAAAGTGCCCTGACCCAGGTCCTGATGAAAACAGAAGAGGCCCAAAGGAAGCAGACACAGCTCAAAGAAGTCCTTGAGCAGCTTCAGGCCAAGGTGCACCCAGGAGCCTCGAGTGGAGTGAGGGAAGGGCAGGCAGATGAAAAGAGGGAAAGAATGAGCAAGCTGGGTTCAACCCACTTGCCACTTCCCAAAATTCAACTGGAAAAATATGCTTCTCCCTGTCCCCTTTCCTTGCTTCTCTGCAGAAGCAAATGGCCATGGAGAAACTCAGAGCAGCCCAGAAGAAATGGCAGCTGCAACAGGTAGGTTCAACCCTTTGGGATAATATCTCTTCCCACTACCATGTCATTGGGTAGGCTATGCCGTCTGTCTAAAAAAACTTTCATTTTGTTTTCTTATTTGAGGCATTACAGTAAAAATACCAATATAGGCTTGAATTAAGCATCACTTATCATTTCATAACTTGGCAGGTCACCTGAAATTTTCTGTATTTCTTCGTCTGTGAAATTGAGGCAATAATAGTACCTCCCCTATAGAGTTACTAACATGATTAAAAAATCAGTATAGCAAGTGCTTAAAATATTACCTGGCACATAGAAAACTAAATAGACTTTATAATCATCTTGGTGCCTCTTCCTCTGAGAATTCTCATCCTAGAACAGCTCTTTCTGATCCTGCCTTTTCTCTAGGACCCTGCACCTGCCTGAGGTGAATAGGGTCCATCTATCTGTCAGTGAGTTTGAGCCCCGAGCTAGATCTAGGCTGGAGGGCTTAAATGAATAACTCTAAGGCTTCAGCATCTGATTCACATCTGTACATTCATGATTGGCAGGAGAAGCATCAGCAGCGTCTGGCAGAGGTTTTGGCAGAGGTGAGGGAGCGTCAGACAGGAACTCAGCAGAAGCTTGAGCATCTGCATCAGGAACTTGGAACCCTGAAGCAGCAGGCAGGACAGGAGCAGGAGAAGCTGCAGAGGTGAAGCTGGGAGCATGGGCTGCACACGCAGAATGGTCCACCTGGTATCCCTTTCCTTTACACTTACCTCCCCCTTCCAGGCACCAGATCTTCCTCCGGCTGCTGTATACCCTGCAGGACAAGGCAGAGGCGGAGTTACAACAGGAGCTGGATCTCCCTGAGGATAAACCACAGCACTTGATACAACCCCAGAAGCAGACAGAGGACACCATGGGGAGAGACAATGGTGTGTCCGCCAAGGTGAATGAGAGGTGGGACAGATGGGCAGACAGGTAAAAAGAAAAGCGGGGAGATCTGTCTTACCCTCTGTCCATATGGTATTTCACCAAGGCTGATGGCCTGCAACCTACTAGAGATGCAAGCTTGCCATGGCTCCCTGGGAAACAACAGCATGGGGAAGAATCCTAAAACACTTCAGACTCCAGCTCAGGCATTGATGTGTCTGTGCTGGAAGTGTGGAGAGAGGGAGTTCCTCTGCTATACCCCTCTGAGTCTCTGCTCTGCTGTCGTTATAGCAGATGGGAGGTGGGGAGGAGGAATGAGTTTATGCTATGGTTGAAACTTAACACCTCATTTTCATGCCCAGTCTACCCAGAGCTAATCCCTCTCTTTCTCTTCCCCAGTCCCCTGGCCTAACCTCAGTGCAGGATGGACTGTGAACTCCTGAATAGAACCTGATTTCTGACCACAACCCAGGTGTGGGCAAGCTCTGGCATCTGTGGATTAAAAAGCCCTGGGATTTCTCTCAGTTGCCTGTTTATCTTCATCTGCTGTTGGGAAGAACTACAGACTCCTAAAAACCAACAATATGACGAGCTGGGACTGGTGTGGATAGAGGGTGTGCATATTATGAGGGGCCCCTGGCCTGGGTCCTCAGGGGTTGCTTACTCATATATATGATGCAGATATGCTGTGCTTGATTCAAGAGGAAGAGAATGCTTTATGCAGGTGATTATATGTGGGAAGATAATTTTATTCACTAATCCAAATTTTATTCATGGATCCAAATGTTTGTTGAGTTCTTTCTTTGTGCTGGTGAACCAGAGCTATAACTCTGAGTTCATCTGACTCTGTGTTTTTGTTGTAAATGCTTGTTTTTGTCAGATGATAGACTCATATTTGTATCTTTGCTTTCTCAAATAAACATTTAAAGTCAAATTTCTTCTGATTTTCTCTAATTATTTTCACAGTCATTCAGTTTATAGCATTTTCTATTTTCTCTTGTAATTATTTCATTGATTCATGAGTTTATTTTAAAAATAATTTGATTTACTATGATTTTGAGAGGATAATCTTACTGAGTTTATTCTAATTTGGTCAGAAAATGTCATCTATATAACAAAACTTTGAAATTTGCTATGGGAACTAATTATAGTCTTGATTTGGTCTTATTTTTAATGTTTTAGGTGGGTTTGGAAAGAATGAATACTTTATAATTGTGTCATATTTTCTATATATCTATTAGATTCTGTTTTTTAAATTTATATTTTCTACATACTTCATTATTGTTCTATGAGTATCACCTGAAATGCATTCAAGTCTCTATAAAAGTAAATTTATTTGTCTTTATAGTTCTGTTAAATTTGTTGGCGTGGTTTGCAGTTACTTGATTAAGCTACTTTATAATTAATATGTACTAATATCAATATTAAGGTTTAATATTAAGATTTACACTTATATCTTCTGAACTGAACTTTTACTATTGTGTAGTAGCCTACTTTATCTTTAGACTAGTGTATTAACCTTGAAATCTAATAGTGTTAGTCTAACTTTACCAGTTCTTTTGATTATTCTTCGCTTGACATATCTTTCCTCTTGAATTTTAGTTTTTTTGTTTTTTTTTTTGAGTTGGAGTCTCACTCTGTCACCCAGACTGGAGTGCAGTGGCCGGGAGCAGCCACTGCAGCCTCGACCTGCTGGGCTCTGGTAATCCTTCCACCTCAGCCTTCCAAGTAGCTGGGGCTACAGGCGTGCGCTATCACACCCAGCTAATGTTTTTTTAAATTTATTGTAGAGAAGAGATCTTGCAAAGTTGCCTAGGTGGGTCTCAAACCCGCAGACTCAGGCAATCCACTCACCTTGGCCTTCCAAAACGCTGGGATTACACGCTGAGCCACCAAGCCTGGCGAATTTTAATATTTATGTTTCATCTTGTCTTTATCCTTTTAAAAAAAATTTTTATTTTAAAGATATGGGGTACAATTCAGGGTTAAGTATGCAAAAGTTCATTATGCAGGTACCGTTGTTGATGAGATGTTCCCCACTCACCCCCTGGAAGAATCCTACTATTGCCTGTCCTGCCCCCTGCTCCTCCCAGCAATTTCTCATTACTGACAATCCTTTTCTTATAGTATTACAATAATTGTTCAAGGTCCACTTATGAGTGAGAACATGTGATACCGTTATTTCTGTAATAGATCACTCAGTATTACAGACTCTAAGTCCATCCAAGTTGCTGTGAAGTTCATAATTTTGTCCATTACGTCTGCGTAATATTCCATCTTGTATATTTACCACATTTTTTTAAAGCCAGTCCTATTTTGATGGACAATGTATATTTCATTGAAGTATGATTGTTTTTATGAACTTATTCTTCCAAAGGAGAAGACAAATATCTGCAAAGTATGTAGAATTATTAGTCTTAATCTCAGAAGTTTCTAGTAACTTTGAAAATGGAGTAACTATTTTCACACTTAATTTTCTTCCGTTTTAGAACCTTTCTGAAGTTAATACACTTTATTCCTGCCTTATAGAATTCATGTAATTTCTATTACATGTTTATGTCTCCTTTTTGAGACTGTTTTCCTTTATCCCCGTTTTCTTTTTCTTACCATATTTATCACTCGTATATATGGCATTTTAAAATGTTATTTTTAAAAAAATTCAGTTTCATAATGTTTGTCTTTATGATTTTGTATTTGTGTTAATTTTTTCATTCCCTTTCTTGTTTTTTATGTATTCCTTTTATGCCTTCTAGTTTTATTTATGTTTTATTTTTTATCATTGTGTTCTCATTTTGTTTATTTTTTTTTGGTTTGGATGCTCTGCTAGTTTAGCTTTCAAGGTTAATGAAATCTAAAGTTCTAAAGAATCTTGATCTTCTTAAACAAGAAATGAAACAGAAGGCTTTCAGCATTGTCAGATCATCTGCCTTTAGCTACTAAAGTATTTTTATCCAATTTACCTCTAGTCTATGTGTTCTCATAAATTAGACTTTAAAATTTATTTTACACTGTCAGTGCTCTATATTTACTCATTTATTTACCATTTTTGCCTGCATTATCTTTACATTTTGACTTTCACGTGGGATAATTTTCTCATCTGAAGTAAACGTCCTGGAATTTCCTTTAGTTAGGGTCTGGATGCATAATGTTTTAGTTTTTCTTAGTATGAATATATTTTTATTTCATTCTCATTCTTGAAAAATATTTTCATTATGTAGAGAATGCTTGGTAGACAGGAAGTTTCACTTAACATGTTGATTATATTACCTCATAGTCATCTGGCTTTCCTTGTTGCTGATAGGAAGTCAGCTACCAGTGTAAAAGCCCTTTCTAATGACATCTTTTACCTACTGGCCACCTATAAAATCCTCTATCTTTGATACTCCGTGGTCATCTTATATAATGAATAGTTTGGAATTCTGGTTTACTTATTCATTCATTATGCTTGTAATTAGTTGGGTTACTTTATCTGAAATTGCCAGTCTTTGAACAATTCTGGAATATTTTCAGCTTTATCTCTTTAAAAAGTACTTTTACCTCTTTTATATTAGCTTCTTGTAAGATACCAATCAGACATTAATTAGATTTTCTAGCATTCTTTATGTCATGTAAACTTTGTTTTGTATATATCATTGCTCTTTCTCTCAAGATTACATTCTAGATACTCCCTATGTCTATTCTGTTAAATGCATAGTCAATCCTTATTTCATCATCAGTTTCTTAATTTTTGAATTTTTGTTTTTATTTCAAGAAGTTGCTCTGTAAGCCAGTATTTATCATTGCTCTTTCTCTCAAGTTTACATTTTAGATACTCCCTACGTCTATTTTGTTAAATGCATATAGCCAATCTTTGTTTCATCATCCGTTTCTTAATTTTTGAATTTTTGTTTTTTATTTCAAGAAGTTGTTCTGGCTTACATTTTCAGCTTTTCTTTTTATTATCTTAAATATAATATATATAGACATTTTGTTATTTTGTTGGAAAGGCTCATAATTCACAACTTTATGGGCTTAAATCTTGTACTAAAATATTCCATACTCCCTGTTTATTAGTATGGTTTATGTAGTTTTACCTATGAGCTGTCCATTTTTCCTGAATTTTATCTTCAAGGCCTGGTAACAAATTGGGAAGACTTGTATTTACTTCTGCCAATAGCTTTTGGTCAGTACCAATATAACATTTAGAAAACTTTGTATGTTTTTTTTTTTTCTTTTTTTTTTTTTTGAGTTGGAGTCTCACTCTGTCGCCCAGACTGGAGTGCAGTGGCTGCTCCCGGCCACCGCAGCCTCGACCTGCTGGGCTCCGGCGATCCTTCCGCCTCTGCCTTCCAAGGAGCTGGAATTACAGGCATGCGCTACCACCCCCGGCTGAGTTTTTTGATTTATTGTAGAGATGAGGTCTCGCTGCCCAGGCGGGTCTCGAACCCGCGGGCTCAGGCAATCCACTCACCTCAGCCTCCCAAAGGCGCGGGATTACAGGCTGAGCCACCGAGCCCGGCAACTTTATATGTTTTTAGTGTATCTTACATCTATGTGCTATGCTATTTTTCACTCCTGCTGTTTGCATGTTTTCTTTTTCTCATTAGTATTTCCCAGAGGCTTTTTTTTTCTATTGTATTTGTTTTTCAAAAGCACAAGCTTTAACATTACTTTCTTTAATATTGCTTTTAATATGTTCTTTTAATTATTTTCCTATTGTCTTCATTATTTCCTTCTTTCTTTTGATTTGTTTTCAATATTCATATAGTTTTTAAAAACTATATTTAATGGGTACATATTTTTGCATATTCTAATCAATGCTTTAAGTATGCACATTTTTATTTGACTACTATAAGAATATTGCATATATTTTAACACATAGACTTAGAGTTTTGTATGAGATTTCACAGAAATCACACTCAAATAGGCACTTTATATTATAACTTCTGTTCCATTCATCTTTTCCAAAATAACTCTTTTCTGACAAAGTTCTAAACATTGAAAATCCTCTAACACATCACATCACATTGCAACCAATCTTTCTGCCCTTTTTCATCCAACCAGTTGGT